GGTGTTCGGGGTTAAGCTTTTGGGGCTTAGGGTTTGGGCTCTGGGTTTCAGGGGTTTAGGGTTTTGGGGTTAAGTTTTTAGGGCTTGGGGTTTGGGCTTTGGGTTCTGTGGGTTTAGGTGGTTTACAAGTATGTCCTTTAGGGTGAGGGGTTTGAGGTTTGGGTGTGCCGGTGGGTTTAGGGCCACTAATAATTACTAGCCCATGATAGAACATGCTGTGAGATGTTAAGTGATGACTGTTTGTGAATACTATGATGACGATAGGTTCTGGTAGGTAGCTTATGCTGACGGACTTAAGGCTGGACTATGAGCACTGTGGATTGTACGGTTAGTCTGCTATTCATGATGGGTCATGGTTTTTTTTCCTTGTTTTGGTGCCGTTGGCATGCTGGTGCTTCGGCTGCCGACTCCGGCGACGACCGTCGGACGACGCCTGCTAGTTCTAGTTTCGTCACTCGTGTCGTAACCTTACCAGGTACTTTATCTGAACTTAAGGCCGAGATGGGCCTTCAACAAGAAGCCCCCTGCACCCTCATGCCTAGACCCTCATTCCTCGACCCGGCGCAAAATCCTAAACCTCTGTTTTCCTCAGCCTCCTGAGGCTTAGAATTGCAGTGTTGGGGGGCCCCGACTGCGACATCTTCGGTCCGAACAAGGAGGGGATTGAGGGTGCAGAGGCTCAGGGGTTTAGGCAGGGAAAGGCCCAGGGTTCCAGGGGTTTCGGGGTCGGTTGCTTGTAGGGGTTCCCTGTTTGAGGTTTCAAGTTTCGACTTGGGTGACGACCAGGGTATTGGCAGTAGGCTTGTCTTCGGGGTCGTTGCCGGCGTTGATGGCAGTATATGGCTGTTCTTGTTGTGAGCACACTTCAGCTGTGGCTGCCGCCGACCCTCTGTTGTGACAGCAGTTGGCAGCACCTTTGCTATCGTATGCTTGCATAACGTATTGTTGCCATCCTTATTCCTTCTGATTCGTGGCCGCATCGTTGTAATGTGTTGTGTCTTTGACCGACGTACTGACACCAGCATGTTGTTTCCATCTCGACTGTTTGTTCCATGTCCAGCGTGTCTCCTTATCACTATTGGTTCCGCTCTATTCACTGCTGAGCACTCTTGTCACACAGCCGGCACCACCTGCGAGTCGTACGGTACGATTCAGTAGTAATCTTCATCGTTCATTCCTATTCGTTGCTAGTGTTGTCTTTGTTGCTAACTACTCTCGTGAATGAGTGAAGCCAGGAGCCTGTCAGTCGATTTAAAGCGCCCTGATTAAGCAGTGCAATTATTATATTATATTATATTATAT